ACCGCATAGGGGGCATAGCGGGTTTGGGGCCTTTCCGTCCGTTGCCTGGACTGGGAGATACAAGACGCAAAGTGTGCCTGGCAGGCACCAACTGTCCATGGCCCTTCTGTTTGAGGTGTGCCCCTTCCCAAGCTGTGCATGTGTTGACATGATTGATAACATAGGCAAATGATAAAGAAGCAGGGCAACTCTTGCATGGCAGTGTTGAACGGTTGGCCAAGGCCCGAGTCTGGAGCATCATGCTGTGAATGATGACGGGGGACATGTGCATCTGCATCAGCCCGTTGGGCATAAATCGAGATGACTGGTTTGAGAGAAATCGCCGAATTCGCAGGTTTGAGTTTGTTCCTGGACGAGAGTGCACGGATAAATCCAGAGTTACGCAGCATCAACATCTCTTCGGCACTCGGCCGAGTGCCTAGTGCGACAAACGGCAAGGCGGGAAATTGATAAACAACAGAGAGAGCAGCGTGGCCTATGCAAAACACGAGCACATCTTCAGAATAGCATTCATATTATTCCTGATTTGGCTTTCCTGAAGGCCCCAACCGATCGGTTGTAAAGATCACAGTGACAGTGAACTCGGGGCGAGTATAGCAAACAGCGCCTTGAAAGGCGTGCCTCTGCGCAGAGCATTTGTAACACGCTCTTCAAGCTTAGACTCCGCATCAGCTGACAAGCATGAGGGCGGCGCTGGCCTTCGCGCTTCTGGGCCTGTCAATGGCAGCGGCACAGACTCGCTGGCAGCCCCTGCTGGCTGATCGCTACCAATATCAGCTAGGAGAGCTCTTCGTTGTTCCCGATCACCTTATTCCTGGCGTCAAGGTTTGTGGGACCAGCTGCGCCGTTGACCAGTGGCAGCACTGCCGGTCATCGCACCCATCAGGAAGCAGCCTGCAGCAGGCCTTTGCCCTTGCCGTTTGAAATTGCAGCGCCGCCTGCGAGGTGCCTTTGAGCAAGGCACAGAAATGAATTGAACATGTGCAAACTTCATCTCATGCCGCTCCTGTGGCCCAGGTGTATGCTCTGGACGGTTTCGACACGCCGGCATCCACTGTGGCGTGGCTGGTCAGCCAGGGGGCCTACCCAGTCTGCTACTTCAGGTGTGCATGGTGCCGCAGGCGGCCTGAACGTTCAACAACAGAAAACAGTGTCTTGTGCGCAGCGCGGCCACCACGCCGGCCCAGGAGCGGCATGCTGCGCGCTTGCAGCCGCAGATCGGCTCTCCTGAGGCTATGCCGAACCGGCCGCTACTGAGCACACTGTTGACTGGTGACCTTTGCATCACGCCTTGCCCTCCCTGTCGACCTGTGCCGCAGCGCCGGCTCGTATGAAGACTGGCGCCCAGACGCGTCCCAATTCCAGCCCAGCGACAGGGGCGCCGCCATGGGCGACTGGCCCGGGGAGTGGTGGCTTGATGTCAGGTCCTCCAACGTCAGGAGGATCATGCAGCAGGTGAGAGTGGCGCGGCGAAGGGTGCGCGTGCATGTGTCTCAACCACAAACCGCGCAGCAACGTGGGCCAATGTTGTGACCCATGGTGCTGGGCACCGACATGATCCCCGCAATACACGCGTTGCCACGCGCTGGCTGACGCCCGGCCAATCAACCCTCACCCGCTCATCTGAAATACTACCAACCTCACGCGCAGCGCATTGCCATGTGCAAGTCCAAGGGCTTCGTTGCCGTCGACCCTGACAACGTGGACGGCTACACAAACGCCAACGGCGTGGGCCTCACTGCCGCCCACCAGCTGTCCTACAACACGTTCCTGGCCAACGAGGCGCATGCGCAGGGGCTGGCTGCTGGACTCAAGAACGACCTTGGCCAGCTGACCCAGCTGACACCCCACTTTGACTTCTTCGTCAACGAGTGAGTCCTTGCATCTCATGGCAAGCGGCTGCTATTGCACCTGCATGGACGTGCTGCATCGTGCATCAGCCTCGCTCATTTGCGCATGCGAGGTAGCGCTACTTGTGTCCACCCTGCATGCGTAGCAACTTTACGCGTACCCACCCTCTTGCTCAAGCATGGACTGCCTGCATGCCAAGCACATGCATGCGCACACATCCACGCGCACGCAAGTGCGTGGATGCATGCGTACACATGCATGCAAGCATGCGTGCGTGCGCACACTCACACACATATTCACACACACACATGTGCCCACTCACGCACATGAACAAACACGCACACCAAACCCATGCAGGCAATGCAACGAGTTTGGCGAGTGTGGGATGTACACCCCCAGCAAGGCGGCCGGCAAGCCCGTCTGGAACATCGAGTACACCTCAACCAACTTCAATAAGGGCTGCCCTCAGCAGGCCACCATGGGGATGCGCACCACCCTCAAGGTAATGCGGTGCGCCAGGCCATTGCGCACCCGCCTTCATGCGCTTTGTTGGGTTTTTCTGATGTGTGGGTTGCAAGCAGCACAACACAAGCAAGTGCAGTCAACACTTGGACCGGCAACCCAACCTGCTATGGCCACCACCAATTCCCACCAACCACAGAGCCTGAGCCTGACTGCGTCGCCCTTCACCGAGTGCTCGACCAACCCGTGGCCATACCCGTCTCCAAGCCCCAGCCCGTCCCCGTCCCCAAGCCCCACCCCGTCACCGTCCCCAAGCCCCAGCC